AAAGAAGATGGAGGAATACACAGACCATTTTGACCATTTCAGGAGGTAGCATATGATCAAGAACTGATGGTACTGAAGGAAGAAGTCCAAGCTGCACTGAAGCAGGTAAAAAACAAGGCTCCAGGAATTTAGGGAATACCAATTGAGGTGTTTCAACAAACAGATGTAACCTTGAAGGGCTCGCTCATCTATACCAAGAAATTTGGTAGACAGTTACCTGGCCATCCGACTGGAAGAGATCTATATTTGTGCCCATTCCAAAGAAAGGTGATCCAACAAAATGCAGAAATTATCTAACAATATCATTAATATCACATGCAAGTAAAATTTTGCTGAAGATAATTCAAAAGTGGTTGCAGTGGTACATCAACAGGGAACTGCCAGAAATTCAAGCCAAATTCAGAAGAGGACCTGAAATGAGGGATATGACTGCTCATGTCAGATGGGTTTTGGCTGATAGCAGAGAATACCAGAAAGATGTTTACCTGTGTTTTATTGACTACACAAAGGCATTCGACTGTGTGGATCATAACAAATTATGGATAACATTTCAAAGAATGGGAATTCCAGAACACTTAACTGTCCTCATGTGGAAGCTGTACATAGACCAAGAGGCAGTCATTTGAACAGAACAAGGGGATACTGCGTGGTTTAAAATCAGGAAAGGTGTGTGTCAGCATTGTATCCTTTCACCATACTTATTCAATCTGTATGCTGAGCAAATAATCCGAGAATCTGGACTATATAAAGAAGAAAGAGTCATCAGGATTGGAGGAAGACTCATTAACAACCTGCGATATGCAGATGGCACAACCATCCTTGCTGAAAGTGAAGAGGACTTGAAGCACTTACTGATGACAATCAAAGACTACAGCCTTCAGTATGCATTACACCTCAACATAAAGAAAACAAAAATTGTCACAACTGGGCCAATGAGAAATATCACGATAAAAGGAGAAAATATTGAAGTGGTCAAGGGTTTTGTTTTACCTGGATGCACAGTCAACAACCATGGAAGTAACGGTCAACAAATCAAACAACGTATTACATTGGGCAAATCTGCTGTAAAAGACCTCTTTAAAGTGTTAAAAAGCAAAGGTGTCACTTTGAGGTCTAAGGTGCGCTTGTCCCAAGCCATAATGTTTTCAATTGCCTCATATGCATGTGAAAACTGGACAATGAATAAGGAAGACCAAAGAAGAATTGATGCATTTGAATTATGGTGCTGATGAAGAATATTGAATATCCCACGGACTGCCAGAGGAAGGAACAAGTCTGTCTGGGAAGAAGTACAGCCAGAGTGCTCCTTGGAAGTGAGAATGGCAAGATTTTGTTTCATGTACTTTGGACATGTTATTAGAAGGGACCATCCCTGGAGAAGCACTTCATGCTTGGTAAAGTAGATGGTCAGAAAAAAAGGGAAGACCCTCAAGGAGATGGATTGACACCATGGCTGCAACAATTGACTCAAACATAGCAGTGATTGTGAGGATGGTGCAGACCTGGCAGTGTTTCATTCTATTGTACCTAGGGTCCCTATGAGTTGGAACCAGCTCCACGGCACCTAACAACTATTTACCACTTCAACATTAGCAAGCCTAACTATCATATACAAAGTAATAATAAAACAAAATAAAATAAGGTTTTATAAAATTTGGAAAGTGAAAAATTTTTTGAAATATTAAAAAAAAAACCCTCAATGCAAGATCTGAAACCACAAAACACTTAGAGGAAAACATAGCGGTAATGCTTCAGGACCTAAATTTTTAAAAATGGATTCTTAGATACAACACCAAAACCATGAGTAACAAAAGACAAAATAGATAAATGGGACCTTATCAAAATCAAAAACATTTTTTTATCAAAGGACACCATCAAGAAAGTGAAGACACAGCCTACAAATAGGGAGAAATTTTGTTGGAAGCCATATATTGCCTAAGGGTCTAACATCCAGAATGTATAAAGAATTCTTACAACTTAACAACAAAAAGACAAACAACTTAATCAAAATAAATAAATATGGACAAAAGACTTGAATATACAGTTCACCAAAGAAGGGTTTCAAATGGTAACTAAGCACATGAAAAGATGCTCAACCTCACTAGTCATTAGGGAAATGCAAATGAAACCACATGACTTATCATTTCACACCTAGCAGGATGCTAGGATTAGAAACACCATACGCTACAGGTGTTGGCAAGGATGTGGAGAAATTGGAATCGTCATCCACTGTTGGTGGGATTGTAAAACAATACAGCAGCTGTGGAAAACAGTTTGGTGGGTCCTCAAAAATGTAAGCATAGAGTTACCATATGATACAGCAATTCCACTCATAGGTATGTACTCAAAAGAATTAAAAGGAGGAAAGCAAACAGATACTTGCACACCAATGTTCACTGCAGCACTATCCACAATAGCCAAAAGGTGGAAACAGCCAAAATATGCATCAACAGATTAATGGATAAGCAAAATGTGATACATACATCCAATGGAATATTACTTAGCCATAAAGAGAAATGAAGTCCTGATACATGCTACAACATGGATAAAGTTTGAAAACATTATGCTGAGTGAAATAAGTCAGTCACAAAAGGACAAATATTGTTATGATCCCATTAGTATGAAATATAGAACAGGTGAGTCTATAGAGATCAAAGTTTATTAGTGATTACCAGGTGTGGGTAGGAGGACACAATGCTTCGAGGACACCGAGCTTCTGTTAAGGGAGATGGAAAAATTTGGGAATGGTTAATGGTAATGGTTGAACATGATGAACATAATTAAAGTCACTGAACTCTACATGTGAAGACTGCTGAAACGGCAAATGTTTTGTTATATGTATATTTACCACAATTAAAAATAAAAATTTGTTAGCATTTATTTCATAAATCACCTTTCATATAAAGTTTACATATATATACATATATATCATATGTACTTATAAACACATTATTTATCATTATTGCTGCTTTTGTCTAGAAGCTTGTTTATCTCACGTTGTTATTTTGAATGAGTTTAATGCTGTCAAAACACTAACTAACCCTCTATGTAAACGGGAATTAAGGCCTCCCTGTAGCCAGAACCTTCAGTCATACTGCAAAGGCTAAATGGTCTTTGTAGTCAGATGGAACTGAGTTCAATTCCAACTTTGGTTTCGGTTTTCTTATTTTTAGTTTTAACTATGTATCAAAGGATTCTTGGTGGAGCAATGGTTAAGTGCTCAGCTGTTAATCTAAAGGTAGCAGTTCAAACCCACCTAGCGGCTCCACGGGAGAAAGACCTGGCGATCTGCTTCTATAAATCCTAGGAAACCTTATGGCATAGTTCTACCCTGTCACATGGGTCACTATGAGTCAAAATTGACTTGGCACAAAACAACAACACTATGTATCAGGCACTGAGCCAGGCACCAGGAGACGGTACTGAGCAAGTCAGACGTGGTGCTTGTCCTCTTGGGGCGTTTCTGTTATTCAGTTGGCTCATTTACACAATATATTTCCATGAGAGACGCCATTTTATCAGCTTTCCTGAAGTCAAACTGTGAAATAGCTTATTCGGTGAATTATTTTGTCTAAGGTCATCTTTTCATTGGTCCATTATCCATAATGCATAGAAGTTTATCAACTGCTAATCCCTAAAGTGGGATTGTAGAAAGAACAAGAACACGGACTTCAATAACAGACAGAAGTGTGTCTGAATCGCAGTCCTGGCTTGTGACCTTGAACAAGTTACTATTTCATTCTTTCCCCCATCTACCAATTGGATATAATTGCTTATGATTATACGCAATGGTGCTTATACTCAACTAATTGTGTGAGGTCTAGGTGAAATAATGTAATATAGCATGATGTCTGATTCTATTAAGTTTTAATAAATGATAGCTGCTATAATTGTTTATAAAAATACCACGAATCTATTTTCATCACTTTTAACAAGATGCATTATTGTTGCAGTTGGTACTTAAAACATATAAAGTGTACAGCATGGCATATCAATAGATATTAATCCTCTTCTCTCTACCTACTTAACATACCTTTCAAGGCCCAGGACATCATCAGTTCTGTGACCTTAAAGCATTTTTCTTGAAGGGATGTTCTGATTTGGGGAAACATACAGATAATATAACAGTAACATAGAACGATATCAATAATATTATAGAAATAACAATAGCTAATAAATATTGAGTGTGTATCATCTGCTAGCTATCCTTCTAACACAATATCAATACGTCCATTCCCATGTAAGGTCACAGAACATGTGGCTATAAAGCCTGTGATCTTAACAACTGTGCTGTAACGCCTTTCAAAGGAGATGATACCTGGACCAAGAATTGTGAGAGACTCATCAGAACATTCTTAGAGCTACGTGCTGTAACAGTGGTGAAGGAAGAGATAGGTCTGTGAGCATTAGTTGTTCAGAAACATCATTTTAATAAAAGCTATGAGAAGTTTTTATCATTCCTAAATCATCTTTTGAAAATAACCAGAGGTGAAAGTGATTTCAAGATGGAACGCCCTTCAGAATAATAAAGGCAAACTTTGACAGGTTAAAAAGACAAAGCGAGAATCATTATACTGTCTTTCAATAGATCTATTAAGTATTTCTTTAGAACAAAACAAGTCATTAAAAAGGGCGCGCCGTCCTTTTATACACCAATTTACTCATCTAATCATCTAATCTGTTTAGTGTCCCAAAAAGGATGTAAATACTATTTAATTTACTAGTCAAGTTGGCTTATGGAAATTACTACCTAGCATGATTGCCTCTGGATAAAGAACAAGCAGGTAGGGGAAAAAATCCATTTAATAAGGTCGTTTCACCCTTCTGGAGTGAGACTATCAAAAACATGTCTAGATTTGTAAGTTAAGAAATTTAGCAAAGGAAAAGTACTCTAGTTATCACTAAAAAATAAAAATAATTCCTAGGGTTCGTTAAAAAGCAGCGTCTTATAGACTCTGTAGAGCCAACAATAATCTTAACATTTTCAATAAGTCACTTACCTGTTTCAAATACTCCTGTATTTTAGATTCCACATCTTGAATGTGTGAAATCATTTTGTTGACACATGGTGCTGGGATGTTTACTACAGAACAGCTGCGACGTCGACATGGGTAGCTAAAGTAAATGCCTTTATTCTCCCCTAAAGAAACAGCAGACAGCGGAAGTTAATTTTATATAGAGTAACAACCCTTGGTGTTCAGGAAATGCAAAAAATATTTTGCTTTATTAGTACTAATACTATTAAAGTTCCTTCAATAAATGTATTTGTGGGTTAAATAAATATATCAATAAATTATAGAATGAACCCTCAAGAAATTTAAAAGCTAAAACCAAATAATTACTTATGACTTCATAATGTAACAAATAAAAATGAGCCCAAAAAGCCTGAAGAAAACCTCAACCAAAGAATAATGTATTATATAGCATTAAGATTTGAATGTTCAAAAAAAAAAAAGAAAAAAGGCAGACAACCAGTTATACAATCTGTTTCCAAATAGATTCTGAATAACTTAAAAATAACTTTGAAATATATTTTAAATACTCCCTTCAAAGAGATTCTACATCTTCCAATGTAAATAATATCTAATCACTCATGCGTTGAAGAAGTTCTTCCCTAAATCTAGCAGAAGTTTCTCTTGCTGAAAAAAAATCAAAGCAGGTCTCCTTCATTCTCATAATAACCTCATTTTCTACCTTCCATTTCGGAAGATTGGAGTCTCATGTGAAGAGTGATTGATGTTCTCACTACAGCATTCAAGCTGTACTCATCATGAAATCCACTCAGTCCGATGTGCCTCAGTGACTCTAATCCTGGCAAGTCCCGAATCGACTGAAGGTTGCAGAAGTACAGCAAAGTTGTCCATGAAACGCCACCAAAGCGCTTACTTGCAGTCCTTTTGACTCTAAAAACTCTATTGGCCTGGATTATAGTTGCAATCACTGATCTTAAATGGAAGCACAAAATAGGCTCAGTGCCTCAACGAGAACAGTGTGTTGTCCTCATTTCAGTTGACCTTGAGGCACAGAAAAGGAATGATGTTGCCTCCAGACTGTGCCTTTTGTTTGAATGCCAACCCATAGAGAAGGCAAATGCTTTAGATATCTTCCCTAAAACTGCAATCTTTATATATATATATATATGTATATATATATAGTACTTTAGATGAAGGTTTACAAATAGTTTCTCATTAAACAGTTGGTACACGTTTTTATGACATTGGTTTTTTTGTTTGGTGAAAATATATATAGCCAAAGTTACACCATTTCAAAAGTTTCTACATGTAGAATTCAGTGACATCCATTACATTTTTCCAGTTGTGCTGCTATTCTCACTATCCTTTTCCAAATTATTCCATCACCATTATCTTCAACTCACTGCCCCCTAGACTTCCCATCAAACCTTTTGAGTTGCTGTTGTCAATTTAAGCTCACATAGATAATTCTTTTTTTTTTTTTGTACCTTAGATGAAGGTTTGCAAAACAAATAGTTTCTCATTAAACAGTACACATATTGCCCTATGACAATGCTTAACAACCCCATGACATGTCAACACTGTCCCTTCTCAAACTTGAGTTCCCTATCACCAGCTTTCCTGTCACCTCCTGCCTTCTAGTCCTTGTCTCTGGACTACTGTGCCTCATTAGTCCCGTTTTTGTTTTATGGGGCTATCCAATCCCTGGATGAATAGTGAACTTCGGGGAGTGATTTCACCACTGAGCTAAAAGGGTGTCTGGGTGCCATACTCACAGGGTTTCTCCAGTCTGTCAGGCCAGTAGATCTGGTCTTTTTTTGTGAGTTAGAATTTTGTTCTGCATACTTCTCCAGCTCTGTCCAGGACCCTCGGTTGTGATCGCAGTCAGAGCAGTTGGTGGTAGCCGGGCACCATCTGGCTGTACTGGACTCATTCTAGTGGAGGCCGTGGTAGCTGTGGTCCATTAGTCCTTTGGACTAATCTTTTCCTTGTATCCTGTTCTCTTCATTCTCCCTTGTTCCCAAAGGGGTGAGACCAGTGGAGTAGCTTAGATGGCTGTTCACAGGCTTTTAAGACCTCAGACGTTACTCACCAAGGTAGAATGTAGAACAATGTCTTTATAAACTGTCTTATGCCAGTTGAGCTAGATGTCCCGCAAGACCATTGTCCCCACAGCCCTCTGCCCAGTAATTCAGTCCCTCAGGGAGTTTGGATGTGTCTATGGAGCTTCCATGACCTTTCCTTGTACAAGTTGTGCTGGCTTCCCCAGTATTATGTACTGTCTTACCCTTCTCCAAAGTTACCACTTATTTATTGTCTAGTTTGTGTTTTTCCCTCCCCACGCCTCCCCTCCCTAGTAATCATCCAGGAATGTTTCTTTTTGCGTGTAAACTTTTACATGAGTTTTTAGAGTAGAGGTCTCATACAACATTTTTCCTTTTGTGATTGACTGATTTCACTCAGCATAATGTCCTCCAGTTTCATCCATGTTATGAGATGGTTCACAGATTCATCATTGTTCTTTATCGTTGCATAGTACTCCATTGTGTGTATGTACCATAGTTTGTTTATCCATTCATCTTTGATGGGCATCTAGGTTTTTCCATCTTTTTGCTATTGTGAACAATGCTGCAATGAATATGAGTGTGCATATGTCTATTTGTGTGATGGCTCTTATTTCTCTAGGATATACTCCTAGGAGTGGGATTGCTGGATCATATGGTATTTCTATTTCTAGCTTTCTAAGGAAGCGCCATATCATTTTCCAAAATGGTTGTATCATTTTGCATTCCCACCAGAAGTGCATAAGAGTTCCGATCTCCCCGCAGCCTCTCCAACATTTGTTATTTCCATTGTTTTTGATTCGTGCCAGTAATGCCTGGGTGAGATGGTACCTCATTGTGGTTTTAATTTGCATTTCTCTAATGGCTAGTGATCGCCCACTTGAATGTCTTCTTTGATGAAGTGTCTGTTCATTTCTGTTGCCCATTTTTTAATTGGATTATTTGTGTTTTTGTTGTAGAGGTGTTGGATTTTCTTCTAGATTTTAGAGATTAGAACTTTGTCTGACTTGTAATGTCCAAATTTTTTTCCCCAGTCTGTAGGTTCTCTTTTTACTCTTTTGGTGAAGTCTTTTGATGAGCATAAGTGTTTAATTTTTAGAAGATCCCAGTTATCTAGCTTATCTTCCAGAGTTCGTGTGTTGTTGGTTATGGTTTGTATTCTGTTAATGCTATGTATTAGGGCCTCTAGCACTGATCCTATTTTTTCTTTATAGTTTTTGGCTTTATATTTAGGTCTTTGATCCATTTTTGAATTAGTTTTTGTGTATGGTGTGAGGTATGGGTCCTGTTTCATTTTTTTGCAGATGGACATCCAGTTTTGCCAGCACCATTTGTTAAAAAGACTGTCTGTTCCCCATCTGATGGACTTTGAGCCCTTGTCGAAGATCAGGTGACTGTAGGTGGATCGATTTACATCTGTGTTCTCAATTCTGTCCCATTGGTCAACGTATCTGTCATTGTACCAGTACCAGGCTGTTTTGACTACAGTAGCTGTATAGTATGTTCTGAGGTCAGGTAGTGCGAGTCCTCCTACTTTATTCTTCTTCTTCAGTAGAGCTTTACTTATCCAGGGCTTCTTCCCTTTCCATATAAAGTTAATGATTGGTTTTTCTATCTCTTTAAAGAATGTTGTTGGTATTTGGATCGGGATTGCATTGTATTTGTAAATTGCTTTGGGTAGAATTGTCATTTTCACTATGTTGAGTCTACCTATCCATGAGCATGGTATATTTTTAAACTGCAATCTTTTAAGATTGTTTTAAATGAAGCCTAGTAATAGCCTCACAAAAAATACAATCTCTGTGAAAGTATCATATCTCTTTCATTTATGATAACAGTGTTTATTCTATTCTATATATGTGTGTGTGTGTGTGTGTATCATATTTTTTGAACACTGAAAATATGTGCCCAGCATAGGGTTAAGCACTTTTGATGCCACATTTTATTTAATCCTCACAACAATCTTATGAAATAGATTATCCCAATTTCATAGATGAGGAATCCAAGGCTTAGAGAAGTTACATAACTTCTCCAAGTCCACAAAGCTGATAGGTGGGAGAGCTGAGACTAGTATAAACTATACTATGAAGATCTTTTTAGATTTAAAAATATAGCAAAATTAAGAGAAACAGGGATAAAGTTATGTTTTAGCGCATCTTGTTTTTATATATCACTTGCTTTAAAATTTTGAATCTCCCTTCATGATAGCAGAGTTGACATTCTAAAAGTTTTTTAGTGTGCCTTAATCATACTCTGAACACATATATATTCATTATGACTACTCTGTGCATGCTATATTCCATCTTTCCTCTTTAGTTTATACACAGATACCATATTTTACACAAATAATATGTGTCTTCTACGTTTGTTTGCCAATTGCACCTTCCCCCTGTGACATATTTTCATAAGTGCACTATGCTAATTTTTTTTACAGCAAAATGTAAAAAAAAAAACTGGCATAATGGTATTTATGAAAATACCTCTTAGGGACATGGAGCATTTGGTAAACAAATGTAGGAGGCATGCATTATTTGAGTAAAAATACAGTATATATTTTCATCTGTGTAATCATTGAAGGTCCAAAGAACAAGCTGGCGAAAATAACATATTGATCTTCTATCTAAATATGTTAATAAGGATATGTTGCCCTTCCCTCTAAAAATAAGAAGGTTTTGATACACATTTAACAACAAAGCAGTTGCCCTTATACTAAAAACATTTGTTTTACCTCATTAAACATGGGAGAAACAAGAATAAAAATGACTCACTGAACAGTTTTCTTGTATGTGGTACATTCATCCTATTTTGTGAATACTAATTAATTTCCATAGCAAGAAAAGTATAAAGAGAAACAAGTCTAAGCATGTTGTGGACTGAAATGTATTCTCTCAAAATATATATTGAAGTTCTGGCCCCTGTACCTGTGGATGGATGTGATTCTATTTAGAAATCAGGTTTTTCTTTCATTAAGTTAATTAGGTCATACAAGACTAGGGTGGGTGCTCAATCTAATCACTTCTGAGTTTTAAAAAAAGCAGAATAGACACAGAGACACAAACACAGGGGAAAGACAGATGCCATATGAGGACCTGTCTAAAACCAAATAAACTCCAAGGATTACTGGCAGACACGAGAAACTAGGAGAGAGGCCCATGAAAAGAATCAGCATGGCCAAGATCCTGATTTGGCTTTTATCCTCCAGAACTGTAAGAAAATAAATTCCTATTCTTTAAAGCCACCCATTTGTGGCTTTTTGTTGTTGTTGTTGTTAAAGCAGCACTAGGTAATTAAGACAAAGCACATCACAGTCAAATTGCTAAATGATAAACAGATAGTCTTAAGAGCAGTCAGAGACCAAAAAGACAGTACATACGGGAGATATGGTTATGAATAATGGCTAAATCTCTCTTCAAAAACAATACAGACCAGCATATAATGGAAAAACATCTTTAAAATGAAGAAGGAAAGGAGGGAGGGAGGGGGGAAGAAGGGAGAGAGGGAGGGAGGAAAGAAGAAAGGAAGGAAGGGAGAAAAGAGGAGGGGAAAAAAAGGAAAAAGCTACTATAAATCCAGAATTTTAAATCCAGTAAAAATATGAGGATGAAATAAAGACATTTTCATATAAACAAAGTTGATAAGATTCATTGCCAAAAATTATGAAGCACAAAATGAACAAATTAAAGATCAAACAAACAAAACTGTAGTCAGAATGAGAGATCTTAGCACTCCGTTCACGATTAAATATACATAGAATTCAGAGAATATGTAGAAAATCTAAATAAAACTATGAACAAACTTAATATAATTTATACTATAGACAAGTGCACTCCAAAACTACAAAATACACATTCTTTCCAAGGGCACATGGAATATTTATCAATATAGAACGTATGCCAGCCATAAAATAAG